AGACAGACAGACAGACAGACAGACAGACAGACAGACAGACAGACAGACAGACAGATAGACAGACAGAGACAGAGACAGAGACAAAGTGAGAAGTGTATAATATAAGTATGTGTGTGCGTGTGTGTGTATGTGTGTGTGAGAGTGTGTGTGTATGTGAGTGTGTGTGTATCTGTGTGTATCTGTTTATTTGTCTGCGTTATGTTAGGTCAATATTTTAATAACATATTTTTGTCCTTTTTTCCGTATCACTAACGCCCTACTAAGAACATATCAAGGCATGCTTGATATCTCAGCAGGATTTCATGCGTGGGGGAATCCATCCTGATCCATCTCGGATTCGAACTCCAAATCCTCGCGTGTTGGTCATATTTGTAGGGGCAGATGTCACCGCAAGGTGTAAGCGTTATCGTCTGGGTTTGGGGGGGGGGGGGTGACTGGAAGATGAGTTGACTATACGGAGTACATGTAGTACATTTTCTTCATCTTGTATAAAATAATCTCCGATTTCACAGCTAATACGTTGAATTGTTGATGAGCAACAATAAAACTCGGGGTAGGTTGAGGGAGGGAAGGAGGGAGGAGGTCATGAGGGGAGGAGGGAGGGAGGGAATTGATCACAATTTTCGATTTTCAAAACTTATGTTGACTTTTCGACTAAGGTAAATATACTTTGGGGGTAGATTTTTATAGTTTTTTTTTGTGTTTGGGGGGAGGGGAGGACTAGAGTGTGTCTCTGGATAAGAAGGGAGGGAGTGTTACTATCTTTATCGTGAACAACGTAATCACGATGTTCGATTATCCGAAGCTTGTGTTGACATTTGGACAATGATCAATAAATCTCGGGTGTTTTGTGGTGGTGGTGGTGGTGGTGTGTGTGTGTGTGTGTGTGTGTGTGTGTGTGTGTGTGTACGCCTGTATGTTTAAAAGAGCGTATGCACTGGAGACTATTACGTGTTTATTCCGTGTAGATCTTTTAAGCCTCCAACGACAAAATTTAGAAAATATTATTCTAGCAGACGTCCTTCGGCCCTGCAAGTCAGGGCCAACTCGCGCTGAAAGGGATACAACATCCCGGCAGAAAGACTGAGATACTCGATAACATTTCTCCCCCCACTCGGGAATCAAACTTGAGTCTTGACC